GGAGTAACCTAACTGTTTCTGTCCCTTGAACATTCTATTCCAGTTCCAATGAGATAGATACGGAGTTCCCTAAGGACATGTACATGCCAGGATGAAGTCTGGGGCTTGACTACCGCCACAGTGTCTTGTCAACCCATGACACTTACAGGGGTTCTCAACCTGTGGGTCGCGACCCCTTTGGCGGTCGAGCGACCCTTTCACAGGGGTCGCCTAAGACCCTCCTGCATATCAGATATTTACATGACGATTCATAACAGTAGCAACATGACAGTTACGAAGTAGCAACGAAAATAATGTTATGGTTGGGTCACAACATGAGGAGCTGTATTTAAAGGGCCGGAAGGTTGAGAACCACTGCATGATATATTGATTTGACTCTTCCAAGTGCTCCCACTGTATCCTTAGCTCACCCCTGTGGTAGAAGCTTATTACTGGCACAGGATCCTGGAGTGACCTGTCCAACATCGCCCTGCACTTCCCAGTCCTAGAGCTGGGGGCTGGGGGCTGGATTTCTAGTTGAAAACGCCAATGCCTGTCCTGTTTCCTCCCGCGATCTTCTCCTCCGAGCGTACCCAAGGCGAGCAGTGAAACAAACAAGCAGATTTCCCACTGACAATGAATTCTCAAACAGCCAGTGTGGAACAACAGGTGAAATGTGGCTAAAAAAAAAAAAAGTATGTCCATTCCCAGATCAGGCAACAATCAAGAACACAGGGAATCCCAGTAATTTCTCATCTGAAAAGTTAGAAGAATATCTTGTTTGGAAAGTGAATCAGATCATTCTGTAGTTCATTTTATAATGAATTATAGATTGTTTGTGCTCCTTTTAAATTCTCACATTTTCCATTCAGAAAAGCAGGGAGCACATTTTATTTTTTTTTACAATGGTGATGTGATTTAGTTTAGAGTAAGACATATATTTCTTATGTGTTTAGTATTTTTTTGTTTTGGCAGTGGATATACTGTGCAACCACCACACCCCACAAAATATAAGACACTTCCATCACCAGGAATAACATCTCCAGGGTGTCTTGCTTAATGTTTCACTATTCAAGCTCTGTGTTAAGGAAGGGAGACAAAATGTGCTGTGTAGACTGGTCTGCTCTTGATGTGTTGATAAAGGCTTGTGGAACAGGTGCCTATTTAATTTAAAAATATGACTCTTTCAACTCCATCCTCTCCCACCTTCTACCTAAACCCTGGTTAGGCACCTCTTTATAATACAGTTCTCTTTGAAAGAGCCTACCCTATTTTCATCTGGCAGCATATGACTCACCCTTATGACGCCAGAGTATCAAATAGTGCCTAGCACTTAATCAGTGTTTTTGAATGAAATTCTTAAAATCATGCTTGATTTGGCAGAATGAATGTGTTCCAGACAAATGGGACCTTTATTTTCTAGTTTATCTGCGCAGCCATCCTGTCATTCATCATTTTTTACTGGACTTTTTTTTTTATTCATTGATGGGACATTTACTATACTATGCATGTAAGTTTCATGCCAGTGGTGAGATCCCAGTGCCCATGAGGATGGTACTACCAAGTTGTTACTTGTTGGGAGGTTTTACATACATATCATATCATCTTATGTAAAATCTTTTGAGATTTTATTTTTATTATTGCATTTCATAGATGGTGAGAGGGGCAAATATAACTTAAGTAACGTGCCCAAGTGTCATATTTGTAGTATGATTCCAGTATATTTACAAAAATTCTTAAATAATCCACATATATTGCCTATGTAATGTATAATACCTTAAGGAATAATGTACAATATCTTAAGGAATATGTGAACTGGAAAGAATATGCCTGGATTTGTTAACCAACCTGGAATTCCTGATGTATTTAACTCTCATATTGACTACTGCTTTTAGGCACCAATTGGGTAATTTATCTCTTTGTTAACAATTATTAATAATTTATAATTAAAGTTAATTTCTGGGGTTTTGGAGGAAGTATATTTAAAGAGTGAACTAAACAAATTTTAAAATTATGTCCTTGATAATTAGCGTATTGAACAATACTATCTAACTTGATGTGGCTTTGCTTTTAAAAAACATTAAACTGTTGATTCGGTACCTTTGTTTCTATAGTTTCATTCCAAAACTGCATAGTGAAAAATATTCATTTTTAAATAACGACTCTTTTTTATTGTCTTTAATTTCATGTTGTCAGGTTTGTTTGAGTCAAGTTTCTGTTTCAACAATTAGAAATCAAAGCAATGGCCGGTATGATTTTGGGCATATGACTCATTGATCTTGCTATAGCTTCTTAGCATCCATATTTATGGAAACCTTTAAACCACCTTCAATAGTATGCCCTTACCTGACACACTTATTAACTAACCACTTAGAGCAGTGGTCGGCAAACTGCGGCTCGCGAGCCACATACGGCTCTTTGGCCCCTTGAGTGTGGCTCTTCCACAAAATATCACACGGGCGCGCACGTACAGAGTGAAGTTGATTTACAACTTTAAGTAAAGTTTATTAAGTTAATTTTAGGGAACGTTGTGGAGTGAAAGAAGATGTAGAGTCGAGGACTGAGAAAGGTATGTTGAGATGGTTTGGACATAGAGGATGAACGGAAGGAGATAGACGAAACAAGTATCCAAGACGAGTGTGGATGGGAGAGTTGGAAGGGGTCGACCTCAGCGAACGTACCTCCATCAGATTGAGGACGTTTTTAGCAAAGGCCAGCTTAGGAGAAGTTCCCTAATTAAGTTAATAACAATGTACCTACCTATATAGTTTAAGTTTAAAAAATGTGGCTCTCAAAAGAAATTTCAATCGTTTTACTGTTGATATTTGGCTCTGTTGACTAATGAGTTTGCCGACCACTGACATAGAGTGTCTCGTTAATGTGGCAGAAGTTTTGAAACCTGGGTTGCTAAATTTTTAGTCAAGTCATATTTTTCCTTAGCTCTTTGTTCATTAATTTGGTCATTCATTAGTTTGCTCACCCAACAGTTTTTGTTTTTTTTTCACATCTATGATTTGTCAAGCATTGTGTATGCGCTGCCTCATAGGTGGTAGGTCCAGTTGGATCACAAGATGTTTGTTTATAGGTTCTCATTAAAATGAAAAGACAAAGTTGAAAGTTATTATTGGGAACTTGTGAGTGTCTGAAATTATGAACTACAGAGAGTCTATAAAGCTGGAGTCAGCAAACCATGGCCTTCCATCACCTGGTTTGTAACTAAATTTAATTAGAGCACAGCCACACCCATTCGCTCACGTATGGCCTGAGGTATTTTCCCCTTAAGATGGTGAAGGTTGATAGTTTTGACAGAAACCCACTAACCTGCAGGGCCTAAAAGGTTTACCATCAGGCCCTTTACGGAAAAGTGTGCCTACCCCTGCTATAGATGGTAGAAATTGTGCAATCTACAATTAGAATATGTTGATTCCCTAAGTACTTCTAGGACACTTCCATCTTATATCCTCTTCTGTGGACCTTTCTTAAAATGTTTCACTCTGCAATATCTTGTTAAGGAAGGAGACAGAATGTGCTGGATGGACTGATCTGCTCTTGCTATGTTCATACTGACTTGTGGGACTGGTGACTATTTAATTTTAAAATGTGACTCTTTCAACTCCTTTTTTCCTCTACCACCTTCTACCTAAATCCTGGTTAGGCACCTCATTGATCTTGCTATAGCGTCTTAGCATCCATATGTATGGAAACCCTTAAACCACCTTCAATAGTATGCCCTTACCTGAGACATTCACTTAACTAAATCCTGAGTATCTTGTTAATGTGATTGTTCATGATCTTCATATTTGAATTACCTGTCATGTTTAAGAAATAGAATCAGAGTCCTAGGCCCTCTGTCACATCAGCTGATCTAGAATCTGCCAGAGTTGGTTCCAGAAGGGACCAGTGTAATTTCTAAACATTCCCAAAGAATACAGATGTCTGTCCTTGCCGGCTAGTGGATCATTTCCTCACTGATGACACAGTTCAACGGTTTCTGTTTATTTTTATTAAAATAATAATTTAAAAGGGCCAACAGACTTTCAGATGAACTCTAAGGAAAATGATGGGCCATTTTAGAACAGCGAAGTTCCCGTTGAATTTGAACATAGTTTCTGTGTCCCTGGGTTCTGAGATTTGTGTGGTGTGAATATATGCCTTGCGCCTGATTAAACTCTTTTCACATATATTATAAACCTTAAAGGGCCCATCAGGCTCTCCGTCTCCCTGGCCTGTCCTGGTGGGGACTGCAGGGTGTGTGGGGAGCAGAGGCTGTGTGTGGGGGGGACTGAGAAAGTTCTCTCTGTTTCCATCCCAGAAAGCTGGCCCTAGGCAAAGCCAGGGGTAGACGAAAGCTCAGCTTCCGAGGCAGAAGTAACTTCTCCATAGTCCCCCAGAAAAGACGTACAATTCCTGAGACCTTTCATTGCCGACAGGCTCACTCCTTGACCTAACTCCTGTGTTTAATCACAGAACTTCTACAAGAAAAAGGAGCTTAACACGAGTCAGTATATTTAAAACTCTCATACCTTGGAGAGGAACATTCAATCGCTTTTAAACATTCCTTTGTCATAACTATTAATGATGGTCGGATGTAGACCGAGCTGTCAGCGGTCACACGCCAGGTTAACATGGCTCATGCTGACTGTTTTGTTGATCCCCTTTTCTTTCTGGAACAACCCAGGCATTTCAGCCGGACGATGGAAGAACTGGTGCACGACCTGGTGTCGGCCCTGGAGGAGAGCTCGGAGCAGGCCCGTGGCGGCTTTGCGGAGACGGGGGACCACGCCCGCAGCCTGTCCTGCCCCCTGAAACGCCAGGCCCGGAAAAGGAGAGGCAGGAAGCGCAGGTCCTACAACGCGCATCACCCCTGGGAGGCCGGCCACGGCCTGAGCGAGGGCTCCGACTCCAGCTTGGAGGAGCCGGGCAAGGACTACAGGGAGAACCCCGCCAGCCATAAGCAAGATCACAGCGACTCCGACGACCAGATGCTGGTGGCCAAGCGCAGGCCGGCGTCCGCCCTGAACAGCAGCGTGCGGGGCAAGCGGCCGCTGTGGCACGAGGCGGACTTGGCCTTGGACGGCCTGGGCAGCCGCAGCCTGCGGCGCCGGAGGAAGGTGAAGCGCATGGCCCTGGACCTGCCGCAGGACGCCTGCAAGCGCCCCATGACCCAGCCCCCCGACGGCTGCAGGGACCAGGACATGGACCAGGACCGGGCGTACCAGTACCCGGAGTTTGCCAAAAGCAAAGTCAGGAAGCGGAAACTGAGGGTCCCCAGGCAGGGACCCAAAACCCACGACGAAGGCGTGGTTTTAGACAGCGAGGAGCTGAGCCAGACCAAGGACAAGATGGAATACGAAGAGCAGAAGGTGTCCGACGAGCTCATGAGTGAAAGGTGGCTTTCCTGTTTGCTACATAGGAGGGCGGGTGGGTATGGTGTTGTGGTTGGATGTGTTTTGTATTTTAATTAATTCTCTTTTTTTAGAATAATGATAATTTATAATAATGGTAGTGACATTCCTGTTAAACCCTGGTCATAGTTCCTTATAATTTATGATGTTCAGCCCGAAGCAGAATTGCTTCTTTGATTTTACATGGCCTTTTGATTGTGTCGTAATGACTGAATTTTCAGCTACAAAGAGAAAAGGGAATAGATTTTCAGTGGGAAAGGATGTACATTTGGATAATAGCACATTGGTAATTCTTAGGATTGGGTTTAAAATTACTTAATTATAGAGTTTTAGTATTGGTTCTCTTTAGTTTCACAATTTATCAGTTTATTCTTTTTTTTTTAAGATTTTTTTTGTTTTGCTGCTGCTGTTGTTTTGTTTTGGTGGGTTTTTTTAGAGAGAGAGGAAGAGAGCGAAACATCCATAGGCTGCCTCCTGCCTGCACACCCCCTACCGGGAAGCCAGCCCGAAGCCAGGGCATGTGCCCTGACTGGGAATCAAACCGGCGACCTTTCAGTGCACAGGACGACGCCCAACCACCTGAGCCGCACTGGCCAGGGCTGTCAGTTTATTCTGATTACTGAGGATCAAGGGTTAATAGCACTTCAACCGTGTGGCTTGGAATTTGCTAGGAATTCTGACCACTTGTGAATTGTAAAGCCCACCTCACTGTCTGGAACCCTTGAACTTGTCATTAGACAAAGGAGAAAAGCAGTGATCCTCTGATGGTTAGTCTAAAGCAAGCATGTCAAACCCAAAGGCTAACATGGGCCAAATAAAGAAGGCCTGTGGCCCATGGGCTGCGAGTTTGACATCCTTGGTCTAAACCAGTGGTCGGCAAACTGCGGCTCACGAGCCACATGCGGCTCTTTGGCCCCTGGAGTGTGGCTCTTCCACAAAATACTGACTTCTGCGCACGGGCCAGGAAGTTTCAATCGCATTGTATGTGTGCGCCCGCACGTGGTATTTTGTGGAAGAGCCACACGCAAGGGTCCAAAGAGCCGCATGTGGCTCGCCAGCTGCAGTTTGCCAACCACTGGTCTAAACCATCCGTTCTGGACAGCAGGTAAAGCACAGTGCTAAGTCCTGTTTTAACAGCATCCAAAGGTAAGTGGTCGTTTTTCTGTGACAGAACTAATGCTACTTGCAGGAAATGAGAAAGTATTGACACTGTTCACCCTTCAGTTGTGTCCTTAAAACAAAAGGCGGGTTTGTGATGCAGAAAAAACATTCCTTACTGATGGTCTGGGCAAGAGTATTTGATTTTTTAATTTGTAGGACTAGCATTTTTATCATGTGGATTGTGAGCTATGGAATATATATTAGTACTGTATTAGCATGTATATAATATACATTTGTCTGTAAATATGATTATGATTGCAGATATGAGTAGGACCTGGTAAAACTTTATAGAATGGGCCTTTTATTACAGATGGTTTGCCATGTGTATGCAGTTTTTCTAAAGAAGTAAAAATTACTTTAAAAAATGTTTCAGGAAGACTGAGAAATTTACAGCATCTGCTTTTCTTCCAAGGAAGTTGTCACTTTTATGCCAGAGTGGGAATTATTTGTATGCTTTGTATGTCAGCATTGGGCCTCTGTGACTGGGGGGCACTTAGCTTGACTTGAGAGTAATTATCTTGCTCACTGGCTGGGAGGGAGGGTGTGTGGCAGAGGAGATAAATACTCGGTTCTGGATTATTCATAGATTGCTGGCTTTCTGGATTGATTGTGCAAACCCCTCCTTTTATTGATGTCCGCCTTCTATTGACAGACATCTACCCTGGGAGAGAAATGAGATGAAACTCTCTTTCTTTTCATTGTAAAAAGCATGTGAGTTCCTAAGATGTGATAAGGCCACCCAGCCATTCACAGTCAAGGCACACATTTTCATGGAGGATGTTCCCCCTCTTGAATAAATTAAAACAATTTTTTTCTTTTAATTTAAACTTTCTTCAATAACTGTTTTCTTGTAACTTAAAAGCTAGTTTTTTTTGAAACTACTTCCAAAGTTTTTCAAGCTGTGTGTGTCCTTGGAATGAATTTATAAATAAGAATTGAGCCCGGCCAGTGTGTCTCAGTGGTTTAGCATCGACCCATGAACCAGGATTCTATCTCTCTCTCCCTTTCCCTTCCTCTCTGAAATCAATAAGAATATATTTTAAAGAGAGAGAGAAAGAAGAGTATATATGTATGTAAATAAGAAACCATGCATTTGATGCTCTTAGAAAGTCTTATTTTCTTTCATTAAAACTTGTACAGCACAGGGAGCTCTATAGATTCTCTTAATTTGAAGAAAGTTAGAGGGAAAGATACCAATTCAGAGTTCCTTGGGAAAATGTGTCATATATATATACATATATATATATGTATATATGTGAACCTCTGTCATCATGTGACTTGTTTTGTATGTTTTTTAAACTATAGTATCCCATAAGCATTGCTGCTATTGGGACAAACAGTGACAGTTGATTCGGGTCATTTGAATGTCCACTGTCTGTTGTAATTTGTATGTTCATTTTGACTCTGTCATATGCTCAAACTTCAGTGGAAGTCATGAGCACCTGTTATTTTTGCCTGCTCCCTCCTTTACGTTGGAAATATTCCTTTTTGCTCAGTGTTTGCTCAGAGGGACCTTAACTTTGATGTCAGGAATTATTTCCATTGCCAACTTTTTTCTTCCTTGCCAAGTAGGAGAGTTGTGTTGTGAACTCTTCAGTGATGCCTTCTGAGGCTATTTGCAGATGTGGTTGGGAAAAGTCATTTCAGCCCGGGCCCTTGCATGTCAGGTGCTGGGGGGAGGCTCGGGCTGCCTTTGAGTGAGACTTGCGCGTTCTGTTGAGCACTGGTGTCTGGCTCAGGCCGAATCACAAGGCGTGAGAAGGCAGTGGTGAGCATTTGATGAAAGCAGATAATAAAACACATCCATTATGTCAGCACCTCGTTGCAGTCACATCTGGCTTACTGACAGGGTCCCATTAGATTCCTGGGGTTTTATGTGCCAAAAATAATATGGCCTGTTGTGAATGGAACCAGGATAGTTGCAGTTGGATATTTTAAAAAACCATCTCGTTTCCTTTCAGATCTTTGTCAGGCTCCATCCAGTTCCACCCCTGAGCTGCCTCGTCTCTTTAAAATGTTACAACGGGGAGATCAATTGTCCTTTTGATCTTTTTTTTCTCTCTTCCCTCCTTGCAGCGACTCCAGCAGCCTCAGCAGCACGGATGCTGGCCTGTTTACCAACGATGAGGGCAGGCAAGGTACTGAAATGTCATTTTTTCTCTGGGGAAACATCATTATTGTAAAGTTTCACTTCTTACTAGTTATTTCGTAAGATGACGACTGCAATCCTTTTACCTTACACACACTACTGAGTGGAGTAGGGTTGGGTTGTTCTCTTGCGTGCGAGGAGAGCATCCTGTCTTCATGACCTGAAGTAATTGCTTATCCCCAAAAGCGAGGATGTGGAGCTAACGGTATTACGGGAGGCTTATCTTCCTTGAGAAGGCCCTACAGTCTTTCCGTTGTGTCTCTTGTAGCAAGTTCACAAGACACTGGTCTCCACTCTCCTGACTCAAATGTATTTCGGTCTGTTTAAGCATTTCTGAAGTTGGATGTGCAAGTCATCTGTCATTTTGATTCAGCTGTGACATTCAGGCGTCCTGTCTAGTTTGTGATTAGACAATTTTCATAAGCTCAATATTGTAACCTGTTCAACAGTAATGTTTCACCACTTAGATGGTTTTTATTTTTGAAACTTCCTGGAGCTATTCCTACTTTAGCACGGCCTTATTGTGAAACTACCTGTTCTGGAAGGAAAACATCAGCAGGTGTACATGCCAATACTTAATCAGGAATGTTAACTTCATTTCCTGAGAGTCTTTAGAGGAAATTAGTAAGTTCCAAGGAAAACAACGAAATTTATTGCTTTAAATTATTATTACATAATCGTGGTTTGCTTACTTATGAACCATTAGTCCTGGATAAATAGATATATAACTGTTTTAAAGACCATAAATGTTTTAAATGTGAGATTCTGCTGAAATATGGTAGGGCCTTGGGGCTAAGATATACCTAAATTATTATTAAAATACATGTCTCCCCAAAGTTATATTACAAATGTTGACTTTGGTAATGAAATGAAATTAAAAACTTTTTAAAGTAACATTTTGATAAGCCTACCAATCTTTGAAAAACATTGAGTGGCTTAGAATACTATGCTACTATTTATTGTCTTTTTATACATCTCTCTATTGTTCTTAAAACACACACATACACAAAATACTGTTGATTCACACCTTTGGCACATTTCAAATTGAATTTTACATTGATCCATCATTATCCTCATGGATGTTCTCGAATATACTGTGAATAGTGTTGTGTTTTATAGATACATCGCTGTAGTCATTTGTAGTTGTATTGTAAACTGTGGTATTGTCACTTCTCATTTAAAATCAACTTTTTCACAACCATTTCTTAATGAACTTAATTAGATGAATTTCACTTAGTCACATCTGTTCATGATTGTTTCCCCTTTTACACTCCATAGAAACCATGAAATTAAGCTAATATACACCATTATCTGCTGCAAAGAACAAACTCTGCAGTCTTACATCTTTTCATTCCCAGCAGGCGATTAAGGCTTGTTTTTCCTTAACGTGGGAAGGGTAGTCATTGCCT